AGCTGTCTTGGCTCTTGGAGAGCTTAATATGCTCAATATACATTAACTCTCTTGGCAAGAATCTTAACTTGCTTGTTTACAACACTGCCCACAGCGTGTTGAGTGACATTATAGACACTCCCAGTTTTGCCACGGTAACATTTATGGGGCTTTCCTTTTTGAACAGTACCCATGTCCTTAATGTTTACAGTTCAGTGAGAAAAAGAAATGTGAACAAATGTAGTATTACAACAGAGCAGCTACCCACTCTGCATAGGAAACAGGAATGGTGCCTTCAGGGTAAGACCCCACCTACTGAAGGCTCCAGGTTGCCCTGTCCCAGCAGTATCACCTAGGAAAGAAAACATTTTCCCAGGTTCAACCAGGCAGGCACACAGAAGCCACTCACCAGTGGTCCAAGGGGACCAGGCTACATCTTGAGTGGGTAGCAGAACTTAGCATTGTCCACATAGTGCTAATTTTGCAGATATGCATACTGTAAAAGGTATAGAGTCATGGAGGATTGCACCAAGGCTCCTGGAAGCTAAGACCAGGCAATGTGCAGCAGGGTCAGAGTCCCTTTGTGGGAATCCCTCCGTGGGCTATATATCAAGCTGTGAGGGTAAAGCCCAAGTTACAGTGGAGTGAGAATTGCAGGTATTGAGTGAAGTCAGCCAGGAGAGAGCATGTGCATGCTACAGGCAGCAGGGCCAGAGATGTGTGGCTAACCAAGCTTATTGGAGCCCACATGATACCACCACAAGCTGCAGACATAAGGTTGCAAAGTATATTTTTCCCTTCTGGCTTTTGGTCATTCTTTGATCCAATCTTCCCTTGTTATCCTCCTGTTCCTCCCTTTATTGCTTTGTGCCATGGGATATTGGAACTACGTAATTTGCTTTATGATTTTACAGATGCTCACAGCTAAGAGTTTAAGTTTCAAGAGAGACCTTGGTCAGACAGAGGAGCTATCTTCCAGTGATTTACCAAAATGACAAACACAAAGGAAAAGAGGCAAGGTCCCATTGTATGTCCTCTAAGCCTTTTAGAAAACCTGGAGTTGTTCCTTTGGCCAAATATGTACAAATCTACAAGAAGAGTGATACTGGTTTTAAGGTTTTTTTGGGTTTTTTTTTTTTTTTTTTTTTTTTTTTTTTGCTTTTTGATTGCTTATTTGTTTTTGTCTTTTTGAGATGGTATCTCCCTGTAGCCGTAGCTGGCCTGGAATTTGCTATGTAGACTAGGCTGTCCTCCATCTCTCAGAGATCCACCTGCCTCTGCCTCCTGGGTGCTAGGACTAAATTGCAAGTTTTCCATATCTTTCTGCCCAGGATTCTCACTGTAAACCCAATGGCAGTGAGACATAACCATGCCAAAGACTGACTTCTATGCTATTTTGAATTTTCTTCTACCAAACAAATTAGTCCACTATTTAAAAATTCAGCATCACTAAAAATGTCAGGACATGGGGAAAATGTAACCAGATTCTTTGCCAGACTAAAAAGCCTCTACTCCAATTCCTGAGCTAAAACCAAACTTCCCATTCTGAGCTTCCAAACTCCCACCAGAATGGCCCACTGAGCTCTGCAGATAGCACTTGAGGGCTCTCTCAGTCTGTAGCTACAAACTCTTCCACATTCTTCCTGCAAACCAGCTTTGAAGGTCTGAGAACCACAGGGTTTATCACATCAATGGTCCTACTTCTCAGCATCAATTTTTCTGTATCACTTTTCTCATCAAGGTGATGAAATATGTGACAAAAACAATGTCAGGGAGGAAGGATTTATTTTGACTCATGATTTGAGAAATCACAGTCCATCATGGTAGAGAAGGCATGGTGATGGTGCCTCTGAAGGCAGGAGTTTTCAGCAGCTGCTGACTACTTGGCATTCACTACGTAGCAGAGAGCTCAGGGCAGAAGCAGGACCAGCCTATGATATAGCCCTATGTCTGCCAGTCAGACCCTATGTCCAAAAGGTTCTGTAACTTCCCAAACAGCACCATCAGCTGAGAACCAAGTGTTCAAAACACATGAATCTGTGGGGATATTTCACTCCCAAATTTATAATAATCTCTACACTGGAAAAGGTTTACCTCCTTCACTGCAATATTATTCAGATGGAACAAAATACTAGGTAGTCAAGCCGGGTGTGGTGGTGCATGCCTTTCACACTTACAGTCCCAGGACTTGGGAGGCTGAAGCAGGAAAGTGATGTCAGTCCAGGCCAGCATGGGCTGCAAAGTGAGCTTGAGGCTAGCCTAGAATAAACAGAAAGACCCAAAAAAAAAAAAAAAAAAAAAAAAAAAAGAAAAGAAAAAAAGAAAAAAAAATACTAGGTAGTCAATAAAACACAATTTATTGCGATCCACCATGCTGTCTTTCTAAAAATGCCACTATGAGGAGTCAACTGTATGTTGGTTCCCAACATAAATGAAGCAGAAACTGAATTGAGATTCAAAGTGGAGCAGCAGAAATAGCATTAAGTTGGGAACTGGGAACATGTCCCTTGGCTTTTGCTCCTTTCTTCCTTCCCCTTCCTCCCTCCTCCCAACTAGTAGTTAAGCAATATTGGTAGGTAACTGACTTGTCTGGGCTTCCTATTCAATACCTGAAATGGAAGAATTCTTGTTTCAACTTAGAATTGAACTCTGAAGTCCTTATAATTCTATATGACTGCGTGTCTGGGACTCTTAAGAGATTTATTGAGGAGCTATTACCCTTGATTTGGTTGTTTTAGAACAGGTTATGTGGTGTGAATGAAAAAAATGTTATTATTTTTGAGTTACACATTGTTGGCTATTTAAAAAAGTCAACTTTGCCGGGTATGGTGGTGCATGCTTTTAATCCCAGCACTTGGGAGGCAGAGGCAGGCATATCTCTGGATCTCTGAGTTCGAGGCCAGCCTGATCTACATAGTGAGTTCCAGGCCAGCTAGGGCTAAAGGGAGACCCTGTCTCAAAAACACCAAAAAAAAAAAAAAAAAGTCAACTTTATGAAACTCTTCTTCCACCACAGAAAGCTGCTTAAAATCTACAAGATTCAAACCCACCACCTAGTGGTGAAGAAGGAAGTTTCAGGTTGGTAATAGGAGTAGAGCGGCCATCACATATAAAAGATGGTTTTCATAGCAATCCTTAGTCTCACCTTCATGTTCAGAACTCAGGGCAGTATCAAGTACACAGAAACTCAGCATTTCCCAACTTAAGGACTTGTTCATTTGAAAACAGTGTTTCACTTTGGTTGCCTGACCTTGTGATTCTTATGCCTCAGTCCCCAAAGTGCTAGGGTTACAGGTGTGCACCACTAATGTTCTGCCTTCGGATTGGTGGGATTAAAGGTGTGCGTCACCCCGCCTGGCTCCAGCTGATAGCCTTAAACCAATGACACTGGATTTTGAGAATTGTGGAAACCTAATTGGTTTTAAGATGGGGCCCAAGGAACAAAGGTGGCTACTGCCCATACACTTCAAAACACTCCTATGCAATTAGTTCTAAGGGACCATCGCATCACTCTCCCATTGCACCATGAGCCTGATTCACAGACCCAGAACTTCTACCATTTAAGTGATATATATCAATGGGATCCTTGAGATAATGACTTTACCGACTACCTTAGGGTACTATACTAGTCTTACTGGGATAACCTTGTTTCTGTTTTTCCTTGTATTTCCTCCCTGCTCTTACTCTTTCCCTTTTAGTTCTCCCATCATCTCTCTTCCACATAAATCAAGGAATTAAGAGTGCTATGTTTACACGGAACAGGTAGCTTCCTGTGCAAGGTGATTTAATTACCCCAGAAGACACCTGGAATTTTTTCTCACTGAAAGTTGGAGTCTTTTCTAAAAATTCAGGCATTTCCCAATAGCTTCCTTTAGGTAATCTTAAACTGTCGTTTGAATTATTCTCACTTAACATAATTTTCTCAAACCCCTAGATTTTCACCTATTCATCAGTCTTGATAGTAGAAACCTCCTAGACTTTTAGCTTAAAACACTTTCTTTTTCTTTTCAGATTACAAATACTGGCGAAGTTTTCCAGTAAGTTATAATCATGTATCCACTTCACTTTGAAAAGCTTTGGGCTCAGTGCCCCCAGGGCATCAGGGCACGTCTTATTTCTGTTTCTTCACCCGGCTCCCCGGAGGGGCAGTTTCGAGACCGAAAAGTTGAGGGAAGCACTTATGCGGAACTTGCAACAGTTGGCGCGGGGCGAAAAGCAGGTTGGAAGTGATAAATGGAGCTGGTTTAAAAACAAAAAGCCCGGGGGAGGGCAGGGGCAGCTGCGGCCTTGCGGGAAAGCGAGGGTGGCGCGGGGCCTGGAGCGCGGGTACAGGAAGGCCCCGTTCCGGGTGGCCGGAGGCTGCGAGGACGCGGCCCCGAAGCGCGTGCAGGCGCGGGCTGCCCCGGGACATCGCGGGGCCACGACGAGGTGAGGCCGGCCCTGCCCCCGCACCGCCCCCGGCGGGAGGCACGACGCCCAGGCC